GCTGCTCTCATACGTCGACACGTTCTTCTTATCGATTAATACCCTCTCGCATTAGTCTATACAGAAATTCCCCAGTTCCCTATCATGCCAGAATCCTTGTAAACCGAGAGCGCGCTTCCTCAGAATTTCTCAGTAACCTTAAAGGCTATATATTTTAATTGTATCTTTCCTTCTATTGATGAGATGTGTAAATTTTGACTGAAATGCAAACACTCCGTCCTCGCAAAAGTCTATACAAATACAAATCTAGTGACATGCGTAACACGCCCCAACCGGCGTAATCTATGGATATCGACCATTTGCTCCTGTGGACGACTGTGATTGCCTAAAAATTTACGCATAACCTTAGTGTTCCCCGTCCGGTTTGACCACCACACTCATGCAATGCTGCGTAACTATCTGTGTTCCAACAACAACAGTCGATTTTTGTCATCTTGCCGAAATGGCCAAGTCTCTGCACCGAAAAGCCGCATTACCCAAACTGGTGCAACTGACACTCGACCTTTTACAGAACACAGTGGCAAACAAGTTCGTTTTCAGTGTTTCTTGATCATTCCCAAACTATATAATGTATACGACTAATTCCAGAGAGGGGAGTACAAGGGGGCGGGAAAGTGAGTAAACCGGTCAAACTTTGGCTAACAGTTCGCCTCAACTCAGAACGTGAATCGATTAGCATTCGTTTCGGTGCTTCAAGAGGGCATTACTTGTCCCAAGTTCGATTTAAGTTACCTGCAAAGACAGCTTTTGAGCGCACCAGAAGTGGTTGTAAAGACGGACACTGACTGTTCCCAGTGTAGTTGTAATAGGAAACCGAGCGTGTCTACACTGTCTTGTTTCAAAACTCCGTACACAGGTCGGAACACTTCGGTCGCATTGATCAGAGGTGATCAGTTTCAACAAGGTGTGAAAGGGCCGCACATGACTATGAAACAGGGAAAATAAGCCTGTTTGCCGCTTTGCAATCTTATCACGCACTCAATCGAGATTGGGGAGAGACGTGTGTAACGGTTATGGCTTTTTGGCACATTCCACAAAGGAGCGTCCGTAGACCATGTAGACCACCGAATACGTTTTGATGAACATGTGGGTGTCTAAAAGGGGGTTTCCAAAATCCGGATCACGGACGACAAATCACGCTTCCCGGTTATCGCTACAAGAGAGATACGGAGAGAGAGAGAAAGAACGTGCCGGAAACATAATCCTACCCTTTTCTATCACAACGCCCGAATCAGCAAGGATCACGACACCGACAATGAGACAGAGTTTGGAAATTTCTATGACTCGGGACAGCTCAACATCTGAAGTTTAACAAGGTTTATCATTGCAGGTTTCTTATTCTAAATCGAGTGAGTGAAATCACCTGTTCAGAACATACCCCAATGGATACCAGAGGATTACTTTTATATTTTTTAAGTGAATATGCCAAAAGCGAGCATTATGAAACAACTGATTTGTGATCGACCAAGAAAAAGGAAAACCGAGACTTACTCGGACGAAATTCAGTGGAATATCCATTGTATTGATCAGTTCCAAAGCGAACTGATTGTGCGATGCATGAGTGCTGGATTGATCGATCCGTGTCAACGAGGGCAGAAAGAAAAACGATACGGAGATGGACTGAGCATGGGGTTTGAAATAGGAGATAAAAAGCTTTATTATTCCGGGTCTCGGCAGAAAATTCATAGCTTTATTCGCGAGAATGGCGGTCTCGATCGATTCCTCAGTAGGCTTCGGGTAGATAAACCCGAGAAAAAGCGAATGGAAACAATCAAAAGAACATTATACCCTGTCGGGAAGTGCTACTCTCGAGGATAATAACCAGACAGACTGAATAAGAGGAGAGATCAACCAGGCGCTGGATCCGAGTTTTACAATTGAAAAAATGGTGCATGTGTTACATTCAGGAACCATTAGTCGCAGTATACCAGAAGTGAAGGATGACTTCTACAAGGACCTGTCGCAACTGCTCCAACGTGCTCGGTCAACGGACATCATGGTAATCGTTAGAGACTTCAATGCTCAAGTGGTATCCCTAGACAAATCAGAAAGGCTATTTGGTGGCTCACATGCAGAGTTTTGGATATCCGAGGTCTTCCACTGGAGCAAGTGGTGGACCTCTATAGATTACGTTGGTTGGAACGTGTGTTACGCATGTCACCAGATAGGTTATCACAGCGAGCGATGTTCGCCGAAGCAGACACCGAGTGGAAAAAGTCAAGGGTGGTCAAGCTAAGACCTGGAACGAGGGTATGAAAACCTTAACCAGTAGACTGGATCACATAAATCCTGTTAGGCTCCCTGGCTGGGGACCTCGGGATGATCGTAACTGATGGTTAGAGACACTGAGCGATATGGCTGGGTGTCGTAAACAGTGACGTTCGTGCATCTCCTCAATTTCTGTGAAACTCTAAACCACTGAACTTTTCCATTTTCTGTTCAACTCCACTTTCAACTTTCCTTTCATCTCCTATTCTTCACCCCAATGGGCAGCCAAAAGACAGCAACCAAAATCCGGCGCACGAATATGCGTGGTTAATGGTTGTACAAACTGAAACTGAAACATGCAATCCCAGCCGACCTGACTGACAACGGAGAACGCCTACTTCAACTTTGCGCTGACCACGGACTGTTTCTGTCAAGCACGAAGTTCTTGCACAAGAAACGACACCGGCTTACATGGAGACCGCCAACCGCTTAATAGCGCTGGACCACATCGCCATCAGCCACCACTTTCGGGTATCTATCTGTCCCCGCTTTAGAGGAGAGCCAGAACTGATGCGGGACAAACAGGCTCTGTCAAACCAATTCGATCGGTCAGACGAGAGAGAGTAAAACAAAGAAATTGCTCACCTTTGGATGCATAATTCCACCAAAGCTGTGAACGCCTCCTCGGGGGTCTGTGCCGAATCTGGCAAGGTCCATTGGCATGCGTCTTTGGATGGCTTGGAGAAACTGAGACAATAGCATACAGCAGCTGGTATATCATCCAGCTCAGTGATCAATATGTTCAACGCAGTCTTGTGCTGTCCAGACTTGAACGAAAAATGAAACAAACTTATTGGTTAGATATAGACTATAATTGTAGAAAATAACTCTGCTAACTGCGTTTGATAAAGGGTGGGAAACTTTCAAAAAAGGTTAAACAATCAAGGCGATTCTACGAATAGTTATTCTATCCCACCGGATGTAAAGTGAGCGCACATTTCCACAGTTCCTTCAAAGCTAAGAATTGACCGGCACTTCAAACCAAGGTTGGGAATGATGCGTGCAAAACTCTAAATAATACAGTATAGTTGTCTTTTAGTGCAATTGTATTCAAATATTCCTCAGGATTAAATGAACAATGCTTTGGTTAAATCCCTATCCCTATCCCTAACCCGCTCCCGTTCATCAGACATAATGGGTATGCATCTGGATGCGGTTCGTTGGCCTCTATAGACCGATCAGCATCAGCAGCAACAACAACAAGTATCCTACATAAAACTGAGAACCTAATAAGAGTTGACAGGTCGATAGACGGAGACCACATGAGAATC